TGGCAGCTCATGCGCCCTATAGTGAAAAACCTATCAAAAAAAAAAAAAATATCATTAAGTGAAACCAAAAAATGGTAAGTGCAAAGCAGTGTGTACAATGTGCCATCCTCGGGCCCGCCAGGTGACGTGGTGGCTATGGCAGCTGCTTCCCACAAGGCCAACTGTGTGGTTTAAGTGCCAAACCCAGCGGCCTGAAAAACATACCAAGTCCATGTGCATGCGTGCCCAAAATCCTGAAAGGAGAATGCAGAAGGGATTGAGGCGTGGCCATCCCCTGTAGGGAGTGCTTTCTCACTTTCTCTCTTTCTGTCCTGCAAGTACACACGCCCTATAGTAAATATTTTACGAAGGGAAGGGGCAGTAGAAAAAATGTGCATGTATGTTTGCATACATTTGTAAATGCACATTTACAAGCATATGTATGTACGTATATTTGGAAGTCTCTCTCGCTTTCTCTCTCTCATGCACACACACGTAGACACACACACACACCGACTAAGCATTTTTTGGATGTCCTGCTGCATCGCATCACTCCAGGGGGCACAATTCCACTGCATTCTTGTCAATGGCACCCCAGGAGCTCAATATCAACAGTGTCCCTTGGAGTTGTGCAACATGGCAGCCCTGCTAACTTGCAGCCTGTGGGTAACATATCTCTGGAAGAATGCGGAGAATGGTTACCTGCGGGGCAGGGACATAGGTGGCTTGGAGCATAGGTGGGAAGGAGACCCATTTCAATACAGCCTTTGTGTCCTGTCTGTTCGGAACTACAGAAATATGTTATGGAATACTCGTCTCCCAGAAAATAACTAAAAGGAGTTGTAACAATAAATACATACATGTTAAAGTAATACACAAAAGTAACAATACACGCTAGAGAATTTGGGAAATACAGAAAAATACAGAAATATATGAAGGGGAGAATTACAATTAAGCTTCATTTTTTTCCTGGTCTCTGGTTGTCTTGAGTACTTAGAAAGACAGTATCGTGTCGGGTAGGAATAGACAAACGATAGTCCCAGGCCAAATCTGGTCCAGCACCTGTTTTCACAAATAAAAGGATTTTTTTAAAGAATTATTTTATTTAACTTATCTATTTTAATTTGATCAGAGAGATATAGAGTGAGAGAGAAAGAGGAAAAGTGAGAAAGCAAGCCTCTAGGTCCAGGACTCGAACCACAGTCAACCATGTGGGAGTCTAGTGCCCTTAACCACCACGCCACCTGTCGGCTCCCTGTGAATAAAGTTTTATCGTCACGTAGCCACATACATGCAGCTAGGCACCATCTATTACAACAGCAGCACTGAGTAACTGTGATACAAACTCCATGGTCCTACCAATGGTGCCAGGAGGTTGAGTAGTTGTTTTGTTTGTTTGTTTGTTTGTTTTATTTTGTTTTTAATGAGAGAGAAAGGGGGAAGGAAGAGGAAGAGAGAATTAGAACTCTTGACAGGGTTTTGCCATTTTACAGTCCTCTGCCCCGACCTCCAGCCAGCTACGATTACAGGCATGTGCTATCATGCCTGGTCTCTGGAGGTCAGTCCGGGATCCACACCTAGCTTCCGTCACTGAGCTTCACCTGAATCTTCTTACTCCTCTTAGAGAGCGGGGACTGCGACTTACGCACCTCTGACTGTCACACAGAACCCAGGACAGGACTTGGTCATGGCCACATCATGCACCCTCATCGACAACACAGACGGACATTTTGTGAGAAGTCAGTGGTGTGAAGAGGTGTGACCAGCCACTCGTAATCAAGCCTAAGGAACTGGGTGACCTTAAGCAAGTTGTTTACTTTTCTGAGTGCCAGTATCCTCCCTTACTAAAATGA